GTTAGTGCGTCGGCTACGCGAGCATCATCAAAATGCCCAACGCAGTCCAGACACAGATGGGTAAGCGTTGCAATCTGGGGCCATGCGAGCAGTGGAGCCATGTCGATTGCATCCGTGTAGTCAACATACATGTCCCTCGTGCTGTCCCACGGGTCCCGCGCGAGCGAGAGCCGCTGCACGCTTGGCGGTAGCCATCGGCGGAGTCTGGTAAACATGCCGATCGAGACACCAATGTGCGCCAGGCGTGTGCAGCGTGGCAGCGCCGCTGCGATCGCGTCGACGTCCCAGTCGTCGTCGTTGGAGGCGTACATCGACGTGATCGGCCACGCTGTTAGGAAGGCGATTAGCTCGCGACGGCCCGAGATCAGGAGGTCGCGGAAGCGCCGGATAGCAATCGATGGCAGCACCGGCAGCGCCAATAGAGCCAACGGACGGTAGGACAGCGCGACGTCCTCGAGGCAGATGACCGGCCATTGCTCCAGAAAGGCCGCAGGCGACTGCAGAAGCGTGAGGAGCGCCTCCAGCGGCGCACTTCGCATGTCTGCTGGCAGCGCCACAAGCAAGGCGCGAACGTCGTACGGTGATGCCACGTAGGGTACGATTGCAGTCGCCGCAAGGGCCACGGCGTCGGCTGCTGGCATCACGGTTGTGGCTTTGTGATCCTATGCGGATATATCCGGATAACCCAAAGCTTGCCTGTGGATTGTTGGCTTTCATCGATCTCGAGCACATGTTGTGACGCAGAGATTGACTTGTATGCGGCCTCTTAACGTTGTTTGGATAGCGTGGATACTACACATTGGATTATATGAATAGCAGGATCAACATCGCGACGCGAATGAGCGAAGACGTGTACCAACATGTTGAGCGTCAGGCAGAGGCGCACCACGGCGTGTCCATGATATATCGACCGTGCAAGGATTACAGTCTACATAGCCCAAGTCGCTAAGCCAACTGATGGATTGCCATCACTTCTATATTGGTTTCGCACAGTGCACATCTATGTTAGCACGCGACGACCCCTTCGACGTCTGTTGGTGCTCTAACGCTTGCAACGATTTCTGCAAGGCGCGCGCACGTGCTCTGCTGTAGAGTCGGTCTGTAGAGCTTTCAAGCTGGTTGTTAACAGTCGCGAGACCTTTGCACGTGATACTGACTACCCGCACGCTGCGTACTATCGGCCACCGAATACGCGCCGGTGGGCTGGATGATTCGTCCCGCCACTGGTGGGTTTGGTCCAATACCGGTAGCGACGCTTTTATTGGACAGAATCTCGACCAATGAAACGCATGTATTTGTGATCTTGGCAACCGCTCAAGATTTTGTAGTTTGAAAAAGCGTTTCGCAATGGCTGCCAAGCCGACTGTAGCTCGTCCTCGGTACCTCCTGGTAGTCGACGCCGTCGCAATCTCGATCGTCCAGTGCTTGGCCACCGCCGACGATGCACTGGCCTTTCTCACTTCCATGCTGGCGTCAACGTTGAGCGCGCCACTTGCTGCTCTCTTGGTGCTTCTTCGCGCTCCCAACGTCTTTGCCACGTGGCCTGTAATCTGCCTCGAACATATCGACTCGGTATACCAGTCCCTCGCGCTCGCAGCGCTTCCGGCACTCCCTGGCGTTCGCATTTGCTGGTACCGCGGGCTTCAAGAAGTACTCGGTAACCGCTACAGCAGCCTCGGTGCGTTCCTCACTACGTGGCCAAACAAGCTCCAATCCATCGAGAATGCCATTTTCAGCGCGTACTTTGACGAGATCAAGCACGCACTGCCACTGTGTCGGTGGCTCACCGACGTTGACGTCCGGGTCAAGCACTGCATGACGCTCCTCCCGTGGCTTCCACCTTCGGTTCGCACACTGCACCTCACTGGAACCTACTCGCGCGCGCGGCGACGGTCCATTCCGGCCACTCCATTGCTGCACTGGTTGCAATCTTCCAATGTCACGTCGTTGGACCTTGTTGGAATTTTTTCTCATGGGGACGCCGTTGCGTTGGCGGCCGTGCTTGCGCAGGCCTCGTCGCTTCGAAGCGTGAGCCTCGTCGACTCGGACGCGCTGCTCCGTGCGATTCTCGTGGCGCAAAAGTCACTGCATCATCTCACGTCGCTTGTCGTGAGCGCCCGCGATTCAGCCAGTGTCGAGCACCTCATGCTGCACGTATTGGATCTCTCGGCGCTCACACGGCTCGACGTACACTGCAACAGTAATTTGAGCTGGCTACTGAAGCTGCTGCCCGCAATGCGATCGCTGAACGAGCTCGCGTTGCGCGGTGGCTATTTTCACAGCGTGCCAGCACCGAGTATGCACGATCGGCTGCGTCTATTGACTCTTGAGGACGTGCAGACGGCAACGAAGGCCGATGCCACAGCACTGCGTCATTGGATGAATGGCTTGCACACACATTGCGCCATCAACCTTCGTACAACGACCATTGCAAACGATTCAAAGCGCTCGCATCCAGCACTCTCGCCCGATGCCATGTAATCCAAAAGTATAGATAATTTGTACGTCAAGGGTCTCCAACCCCGTTTCATTTCATGGTTTGTAGATAGATAGATACAGCGATTTTTCGCGTGAATAAACACAGCGATACTGGCTGTAAGCTCCATGCAGGAAGATTGCCGCACACGGGCACGGAAATACTCGACAGCATCGTGCGTGGTGACGCCGGAAGAAGCGTCAACGATCGCCTTGGTCAGCACGGTCCACAGCGCCTTGTTCTGCCCCATGGCGGTGAGGTCCGTGAGGTCGTCTGGGGTCGCGAGGCGCTTCTTGAAAGACGGAACGGTGAGGCTGCTGCGTTATCGTCGGTATGAGAGCCCGGGCTTACGCTCGTGGACCTGCTCTCAACGATGCCTGCTTTGGAACCTATGCTCCTTGATCCTCATCGTGTCCTCCAGCAATCGTGCCAGCGAATCGAGCCAACACGGTACGCGTCACATAGTGGTAAATCATTTCGCCTTGCAACGGAGGCGAGCGCCTCTGGTGAAGGTGCGCAGTCCGCTGGCGAGGGCTAGGTTTATAAAGCAAACCTCGCAGGACTACGTTTCCCGCGCAACCTTGATGCGGTTGGACTCACGCGTGCGGTGTTGATATGGATGGTTCAATAGGAAGAGAGTGAAGCTGCTGGATCACACGTCATCTGCGTTGAGAAGCGGCGTGACGATACAGTAGATACCGACGCTTTCCACTGCTCGCAACTTGTCGCTCCAAAATCTCGGCATCCACCTCGTCACGGTCTGGACTCTTCTCGGAGCGCTATCCCGCGTCGTCAGCACCACGGTCCGCATCGCGGTAAGCATCAGCGCCGACACGTACAAAGAGGTCGCTCGTCTAGCCTGGAGGGACTCTGGCGTCGCGATGCTGCCTCGATACATCAACGAGTACGATCTCTTTAGCCCCTAAGCAAGCTTTGAACCATTATGAATGACATTTTTTCATCGCATCGCTTGCAGGCTGGGAAGGCCAGAGACACATAAGACACGATGGTCCTCATCTTCGCAGCTGAGAGACACCTCGAGTCTTATCGTCTGTCAAGGTCCAGCCACGGAGGAGCTCGTGCTGGACGTATTAATACGCAATGCTAATGGTCGACTTGTGTAAGCTGCACCAATGTAAACAAATATCTTTGACTGCTTCGGGTGACGCGACCAGCAGCAACGCTATAGCTCAGCCTGAACCAATGGGATGTTAATGTTGTCCTTGCGCGCGCCTGGCTCGTGCTTGTCCGTGGGTGTTGTCATCCGGATACCGAGCGTAGCGGATCGTGACCACCCACCAATCAAAAAACGGTGGCGCGATCTATTTCCTCGTTCTTGAACCGACATGCGTGAAACGTCATTTTTGAAACAAGTGCAGCATGGCAACGAAGCGGATCCATACCGTACCGACACCAGCCTTAGCTCTCAACCACCTCCGCGTCGCAGTCGTCCAGTGTTTGGACTCGTACCACGACGTCGTCGCCTTCCTTCGAGCCTTGCCGTCGCTTTCGGAGCCACTGGCCGCGCTGCTCGCACTGCTACAGGGGTCGTCGCGCGCCATGGACCAGTGGCCCGCGATCGCCCTTGAACGCTTGAGCGAGAGCGAGGTGGAGCTGGCGCTCATCGCGCTTCCCGCGATACCTGCCATCCACGTCCACAACCGCGACGATTTCGACGACAATGTCGGGGCGCGGGTTGCCGACCTATGCACGCTCGCAGCGACGTGGCCGACCAAGATCACGCACCTGAGCGAATGCATTCAAGACAACGAGATCCCGTACGTTCAGCGCATCGTCTCGCACTGCACTCGCCTCGATGCCATCGTCCTGCACCTTGACGCATTTGCGCCGCTCCTGCCGTCGCTGCCACGTGGTCTTCGCCACGTGGCGTTGATGGCCAACTTGTATGCGCCCCCTCCGATCCAGAACATTGCACCGACCTTGCGGCAGTGGGTCGATGTTGGCACGAGCAGTAAAAAGCACATTAGCTTCCACAACACGTGGGTGCTGAGTGACGCCGAGGCCGTCGCAGAGGTGGTCGCGACCGCCCCGTCTCTGACCGGCCTCGACATTGACGATACGTCCGAGCTCGTCGAGGCCCTCGTCGCGAGGCCCAAGTCACTGCAGTATGTGACGGCATTTGGTATCAAACGAACGCCGCTCAAGGAAGCGAAGCAACTTTTGGCGCGACTGGACGTCGCCAAGCTCACGCGGCTCGAAGTGGACGAGGTGGCTGACGTCAACTGGGTCCTCTCGTTGCTGCATTCGATGCCCAACCTCCAAGAGCTCTCGCTCAACTGCGGTGAGTTCAAGACGATCCCTGCCACGCTTGCTGCAGCGACGCCCCGTCTGCGCAAACTACAAGTGCGCAATATCGGATTTTCGGCCACGGCTTTCAACAAGTTTCTCGGGTGGGCGTGTGGCTTGAAGCAGCTGCGCTACGTCTCGTGGGACGTTCAAGGGCACGCCAACCGGCAGCTGGCCACGCTTGCGTCGACGCTCCGCCAATGGATCAACACAACAGGCGTCTCGGAGATCCATTTGTTCGGTGCCCATGGAAATTGCGTCGCCAAAATGGTGGCGTCGGTGCTGTGCGAGTCGACACGCGGCACAGGCCTCACGCTTGTGGACCTGCATAGCGACGGATGCGTCGTCTCTCCCGATATGGTGTGGGCGCTCGCCCAAAGCATTGCCCACCTCACGAACACCAGGATCAACATCGCGACTTTTATGGACGATGAGACGTACCAGCACGTCAAGCGTCAAGCGGAGGTGCACTATGGCGTGTCCTTGACAAGTCGAACGTACAGGGATTTCAGTCTACACAGCCCAAGTCGCCCAACCTACCGGTACTACTGATGGAGTGACTCCATTCTATCGATTTCGCACCATACAAATCCATGTTTCCCACGACGACCGCCGCTTTTATTATGTCTTGGTGCCCTAACGGATGCCGCTCTTTTTCGGCAAGGATAGACACGACTGCATTTGCAATCTTGGCAGCCGACATGAGTTGTCACGATCTTGTAAGAGCTTGTGACGGGGTCGGTACCAAGCCGCAGCCGCATCGGACAAAATTGCGGTCGAGAAGCACTCGGCATGCGCCAGCTCGTGCGGCATCTCAACCCCGCCAAGCTCACCCAGCTCTCCGTAGAGAGCAGTGGCGACCTCGCATTGGTGGGTCGCTGGGGTGTCTATTAGTTCTGAGACCTTTAGAATGCCTTTCTTCCAAGTACATGACCTCTGAGTACTTTTGTTACTAAAAAGACTGGTTTTTGAGTTTGAGGGTAAACGAACTCATAGGTACCGGTACTTTTAAGTTGGCCAAACTCGATTGAGCGCGTTTTGAGGTCACACTATATCACGAAACTTACTTATAACGTGATTCGTTGTATACTCACACTATATCACGAAAATACTAATAATGTGATTGATCACACATGGTGCTGATTGGTCATGCAACAAGTCATCTGGTGACCGACATGCCCATGCAACATGGAAAGGCCAGCACCAAGAATGCCAGGTCAACGGCCCGCGCCGCGTCGGATACAAGCACGGCTGCTTCGACCCGTAGCTCTCGTCGAAACGCCGACAGCGCCAGTGGTCCCAAGCCTGCGGCTGTACCAAGCGTCCTCGGTGGAAACGAGCGCGATGCGGCGGGCGTCGAAGCCTGTCCTCGCGATGATGAACGCGCCCTCGTCGTTGGTGCGCATGACCCGATTGCAGACGCGATTGCTTTGATGCGTTCCCGGGGACTGGACGAGGCAGCCATTGCCGCGGCTCTTACCTCTGCGATGTCGAACGTGGCGCCATCATGCTCCGTGCCGCCACCCGTGTCGTCGCTGCCGGTGCCGCCGCCTGCGTCGTCGCTACCCATGCCGCCGCTTTCGTTGCTGCCCATGCCGCCGCCCGTGTCGTCGGTCGCGTCGTCGTCGGTTGCGTCGTCGTCGTCGGTCGTGTCGTCGTCGGACTCGCTGTCGGGATCGTCGTTGGAGTCGTCGGGTGTTGTACTGCACTTGGCGCCCGATATGAATGCTGCCAAAAAATGGGCCAAGAAGTACATGGAGACGACGCAGGCTGCCATGCTCATCGAGTACAACCTGAAAAACAAACGGGGCAAGGTCTACTGGTGCTACACAAA